TGCAATGTTGGGGGTGTGGGTGTGGTGGTGTTACCGTAATAACACGATGCAGAGTTGAGAGTGTAACTTCTCTTCTTTGAAATACCTTTTGAATGTTTTAATGACACAAATCGTTGCAGGGTTCCACTAATTTTAACTGCACATTCAAAAATTTGTCTGCGGAAACTCAGTGGTAACAGGTGAGTTAAAGAGACATTTGCCAATTTTCAGGTGTTTTTATGTGTAAAAGTTGTAAATAAACACTATTGGCTGAAATGCTCCACCTGTAAAGGCCAGTAATATTTGAGAGTGTCTCCCACTCCCCAAAAGGGACTGCTCAACTTTACAAACCTACAAAAGTCAACTCAAACTCAAACACAACATTCACTTTAAAAGGGATATTCCACCCAAAACTGAATTTTTGTTTGTTGACCTATTTCCCAGAGTTAAATAAGTGGGGACAAACAACATTTTAACCAGCCCAGTCCTTCTCCTGACCTGGCTGTACTCATTTCCCTTTAGCTTAGCTAGTGGTATATTGTTTGTGTATGTAGACAAATTTTCAGATGTTTGAGTTCAGCTCATGAAAACTGGGAGCAAAAACAAAAGTGTTGCGTTTATATTTTTGTTAAATAACATGTAAATTAACCCATTACACTACAATGGCTCAAACTCTCATCATTTATAACCTTTAAACCGGAGTGTGCTTCAAATGACCAAAATTGCAATTAAAGCCCAACATTTTCTTATCTAGTGAAGTAGAAACCACTACAGTTTAAAGAAGATAAAATCCATGTTTCTTTAATGGTTCTGTACAAATATCAAGTGATTAGAAAGTTACTACCTTAGGTACTCTTTGATTCGATCTTTTTTAAAGTTAATATGCAAAATCTGCCGACCAAACTTAAATTTAATGCAGGTTCATGTTTTAATGATGAAATCCAGATTTATTAAAAAAAAAGTTGGAAGGAATTTATTAAACCTACTCAGGTCTCGGGGTAATCTTCCTCCATCACTGCTCTTTTTTTACAACTGTGATTTGAGTCCAGTGCGTCATATCGTAGCTGACTGTTATCTTCTCCATTCAGAGTTGTCTTTCACCTCAGGATTACAGAGCGTTTATGTCCTAGGGTGTGTTCGCCTGCTCAGACAGCTGTTACCAACATCCGGCCTTCTATACAGCCCTACTGTACAGCCTGTATCTCGTCAGCACAAGATGAACAAGTAACCTATAAGAGACAGTTATATGTCCTTAGATTTACATCGCAGCTAGGTTTACCACATCTCAAACAAGCCGTGCACCTTTTTGAGAGGAGACTATGCATATTTAAAAGTTCAAATGAAGAAGTGCACCCAAAAGCTTATTTTTGAGGTATTTGTTATTAATGAAGGGCATGATGAAAAATTTGGCATATTCTTGAAACAGAATAACATCTGTGAGCTTAGTTCCTCTTCCTTCCACTGTAAAAACACGTTTCCTGATACAGAACACAGAGTGAGCTGGCTCTGTGCCTGCTGGCAAGTTGTATCTAAGATGAGGGACGCCCCCTGTGCCTTCTGACATAACTTTATAACTGCATCTCTCAGAGTGATTATGAGCTTATCGGATTATGCTAACATGGCCGCCGCACCTAAAATCTGATGCTATACAGCAGAGAGGAAAATTAAAGAATATGTATGAGTTTTGGTCAGGTTTGAATTACTGGAAGCACTGCAGATGTCCTCAGGCTAGAGCTGCTGACTCCACACATTTTTCTGTGATGCGAGTGAGAAAAACACTTGGGTATCACATATGTTGAAAGCAGGCACAGCCAAGCTTATCACCCTGCCAGCAGTTAACACTCTTAAAGCTGTGTAGCGACATGATATGAGTAGGAACGGTAGCGACTGGGGACACAGCAATCGGCTGAACTGCTAGTGTTAATTTGGGGGGTTGTTTTGCAGTAAAATCAGCTCATTATGCTGTTTTGGTTGTAGTTATGTTTCTGCTATCCAGGTAAAAGCTGCTCATGAGGGACGTTTTCATAACTAAAAGACAAATTGAATGGTATTCTCTCTATTTCTTCTGTCTCAATTGTTTGTAAGCATTTGGACTGTGGACTCAGCATGAGTTAGTTCTTAGCTTCGTCGGCAGTGAAGTCACTCACTGTGCCTCTCGGTCCTCAGTGACGAGATTTAAAGTCCGCTGGTTCTTATTTTATCCATCAAATCAGGGACAGCCCTGCACCACTGATTCCACGTGAATGAAATTAACTCACTGATTGGGAAAACCAGCACCACTGTGAGCCCCCGAGGAGCACCGAGCACCAATCCCGATAAGAAGCGCTGAAACCAATTACAAGCCTGTTCTAATGGATGAATGCGGTGAAACATTACATGCACTGCAAGTAAATATATGCAAAAGATTTGCTTTTTTCCTCCTGTCTTCCAGCTTCCAAGACCTCCAAAAGTCTGAGTTTCAGAGTTTAGAGTTTCTAACAAAGTAAAGACTGCTGCAGTAATGTGCAGCAGAGGGTTTTATTATGCTTTAATTTTAGATTTGTAAGGAATGGAATGACCCAAAATGTTTTTGTTATAACTTTGTGACAAAGACAAAAATTCTGATTATAATTACTTTTCAGAATAGACTAGTATCAGTGATTATAGGAATAATTTATTTGTATTTATTAGAACATCAATAAACCAGAAATTTTAATTGCGATTAATCTCATGAATTTCATTAACTTGCTATTAATTGTGATTACCGGAATTTAATAACAGATTATAAATTATAGAACTATAGAATGGCATTCTTCATGTTTCTAATAGGAGCAGACAAATATGCTTTCTTTATGAAAAGGTATGTTTATTGTTGCAACAATCCAAAACAATGACAAATGTTGTCCAGAATGTTCTACAGAAAAACATAAATGTTTAGTTACCTGAATTCAAATAGCTCCTTCTAGGGCTCAACAACCCCCCAAGGCACTGTACAATTCACCCATGCTCACACACATTCTCAAGCTGGTGGTGATAAACTACAATGTAGCCACAGCTGCCCTAGGGCGCACTGACAGAGGCAAGGGAGGTTACGTGTCTTGGCCAAGGACACAACAACTGCAACAGATGGTCCTCAAACTGCAACACTTAACTCCTCTGATACTGTTTCCCATCTTCTCTTTCCCCATTCCCCAAGCGACTTGCTTTAGTCATTTGGTCACATGTGAGAGAGAAGTGCCATAAAACTAGGCATAAAAGGACAAGAAGAGATATGTGCTCTCTTGATGGTGCGCACAACTGCGTGCACAGTTTGGGTTGACACTCACTCCCGAGTCCCACATTTACCTTTTTTATTCACTCACAAAACAGAAATACCTTCTAATGATGTATATTTATTATAATGGGTTTAAAACTTCTTTTCTTGTAACATGTTGATGTGATCAGGGTTTAATGTGTGTGCACAGAATCTGTATTGTGAATTTTCAACAGTTCAGAGCGAGCAAGCAATGGACTTGATTACAGCATGATTACACACTCCAATTATTATAAAACTGCACTAAAACAGATGGTGGTACACTGCTAAAGGTGTGGAACACTGAAAACCCATTTTTTAATGATTTTTTTCTGATTTTAATCAATTTTTCGTTAAGGCTGAACATGAAAATAGTCTCCTACTGTATACTATCTCCTGCAGGAATAAGACTCCAGAACCTGCGGTCGCTCAGCTGTGATGCAGGCAACTTTTAGTTCCAAGAAATGGTGCACTGGTATATTTTTCCACCCGAGAACAACTTACAAGGCATTCATTCCAACTAGAGACCACTGCATATGTATTGATTAAATTAGGGATTCGCTCCTTTAAATGACTGATTGTTGTTACACAACCCTGAATTCAACACTGGTCAATAGTGCATTCATAGTTTATAGTTATTATCATACATCTGTGGCTCCAGATTTTATCGTCGGCCAATCTGGAGGGATTTGGAGCGAAAATGCAATTGGAGAATGAACTAGAATGAATCTGATTCATAAATCAACAGTAAACAAGAGTCAGAGTGTGTCAGCGTAATCATGTTACTGATGTACTTCACTTTATGATTTGTCTATGAAAGGGAAGGCTAAATAATTGACCTCTTACCTGTTGAAGACAGGTGTTCAAACACCCTCATTTTGGAGAAAAAGAGACTAGTTCTGAGGGAGCGCGTGTTACAAAGTGGCTTACTGCAGTCTAATAGACCTATGACCTCAGAACGCCATAATGATTCATTCAAATGTTATTTAAATAACCTTTGTACATCAGCCATGTTACATTACATGGAATTTAATTTACTGTGGAAATTAGCATAGAAGCTAACAGTTACAGTCAGAATATTATAATACATGTGACACAATAACCTCATGATGTAAAATTTACAGTATGATAAGACATTATTTGCTCATAACATTAAATAGTTTAATGATCACTTTTATCATTTTCAAAATACTTGAAACATTTGTCAAGCTAAAAAGTTTCAACAAAGCCAGCAAAGTGAAAATAGCATCAATATAAGAAAAAATCACAGTGGCATCCTCTTATTCCTGGTTTTTAAAGCAAATATTGTTGCAGTCTGTCACAGACATGTGTCTAAAACCTTTTCTCTCAGGAAAAAAAGAACAGTGTTGGTAAAATGTTAGACGTGCGGCTCACCGTCGGTGTGATTACCTTCATCTCTGATTAGTTCAGCACATTCATTCAAGGTGGAATTATGGAAGGGGCGTGGGTATTGGAGGTTTTGCTGACAGCTCCAGAATCAGGATTTGTGGAGTTTAATCACAAGCTCTTGTTGGTACTTTTCATTGGTTTGATGTAAAAAAGAGCAGCCATATATATATATATAATGAATACCTTCTTAGTGGATTTATAGAAAACATTTTATATCTATTCACTTAGACTCATTGCTTCATTTTTCCAGCCCTCCGTGACAAAGTTAAAGCCATATTTATGTCAGTCTGTTATGTATAGTTCAATTAAATTCACGTCTTTTTATTTTTCTGTCTTTTAGCCAACAAGACTCTGCTCGGAGGAGGTGGAGGTGAGTCACAACCTGTCTGATCCTCTCGTTGTGTAACAGGAATGTCTTGCCAAGATACTTGCAGGCCTCGGCTGTTAGTAATGGCACATTTTACTTCCAAAAACATGTTCATGCACCAAATAATTGAATGTAAAAATAGAAATCTTTTAATCAGATGTTGCAGTGTGTTTTACCAGCCAAAAAGTGTGTTTGTGTGTGTTTGTTCATGTTCTTGTGACTGTTTTGCGTACATTTTTCCATTTTTCTTTGTGTTTGGCTACAGACAGGTCTTTGTTGTGGCAGGTGTTCATGGTGTGTTTGCATGCTGCTCAGTGTGTGTCTGTCTGCCTGTTTTCTTCTTCATCTTTCTGCACACAGGTGTGAAGTCAATAGTTCATAATTTATTGTTTTGGAGTGCTGCTGATTCAAACAGTCATTTTTCTGTGTATTGTTGAGTCAGTGCTTTGTGTGTGTGTGTGTGCGCACGTGTGTGTGTGCGAGATGTTTAGACGTCAACTGCTGATCAATATTTGTAATACATCTATGCTACTAATGCAGTGCCCACATTCACTAAACACACACACGTGGTGGGGGTGGAGGGGGGGGGGGGCATGAGTCAACTCTGTGTGTGTGTGTGTGTGTGTGTGTGTGTGTGTGTGTGTGTGTGTGTGTGTGTGTGTGTGTGTGTGTGTTATTGCTTGCAAATTTGGGTGGTGTACATTTGCCTGTGGTTGTTTTCTTTGTCTTAATTTGGTCAAACAGCTTCAGCCTTTCAGAGGCAATCGCTCCCACAGCCATGCTGCCATTTTTAACCTTCCAATTTGTTTGTGTGTGTTCCTGCATTTGTTTTCTCCTCCAGTTGCTATGGTGAAATATTTAGGACACACTGGTCTGCATGCATCTTAGTGTGCATTCATTTATCAGAGTGGAACAGTGCATTCGCTTGCCCAAAAAGATCTGTTGGAGCCCTCGGTCTCCACACACACACACACACACGCACACACACACACACACACACACACACACGCACACACACACACACATGCACATACTAACAGACAGGCTCCACCCTGACTGTTAAAAACACAAGCAGCAGCAGAAGGTGTCAAAAGGAGCAGCTCACCTATGTCCTGTCATTTTGCACGCACGCACGCACGCACGCACACACACACACACACACACACACACACACACACACACACACACAGAGCACTTTGAGATTTTAGGCATTGTTTGATGTTCTCCTGAGGTCTCTGGTGACTCTGCCAAGACAGATGCTTTCTAGAGAGCTGTTGGTTGTGTCTTCGTGTTTGACAGCATTAAAGAAACAGCTCCGACCTTTTGAAGTGACTTTCGCTAGAAGGGTTATAAACAATTAATATATTACTTGTTGTAAACAGCTTCAGTTTGAAGGAATAGAGATTAGTTAGGACAGAACAGCTAGAGCATCCTACCAGGCCAAAGAGCAAAACTCTACTCTTAAAAATTTCCAGTCTAAAAGATTGCATAGCTTTTTATGCAAATGTCATTTCATAAGCTGTGTTCAGTTGTGTCAGTTAAACATTTCATAGTAATTTCCAAAATATGTTATGACATTCTGGTGGAATTACCCCAGGTTGCACCAGAAGAGCTACAGCTAGCTACGACTAGCTGCTGCACCTATTTGGTGTTGAATACAACCAAATCATTATTTGAATGTTAAAGACCTCACTTTTGTTTTCTTGCCAAAGGTCACAACTCATGTTACCTTGTGGATACATGGGCCCACTGTTTCCACTACCCTCTTAAGGATTCAGGATCCAACTCCTGTAATCTCGTGTTGAGAAATACAGATGGTCTAGCTATTTTTGTCAAGTTTAGCAAATAATGTCATTCTCCTTCATTGCTCAGTCTTTATTTACTGTAATATGAAACTGACAATATGCTTGATCTGATGAAGATTTTATGTAGTGTGTGCACAGGGAGCATCTGCTGGGAATGACTACTTGCTACCATCACACCAAATTTTGGTTCAATATCTGTAAAATTGGCTGATTTTTAGCCATTTTTGTGTAACAAGGATAATTGGCTGCAGCGCCCATCTTAAATTGGATAAAATTTTTTCGTTCTTCCGAAGACCCTCAAGCCGACTGGAAAGGGAGGAGACTTAGGCTCCCTTTAAAGGCGCCTGCCCACACTCAGCCTGATTGGACGGGTTGTTCTGAAACTGTCATCTCGTTGTACTGAGACGCTGGTACAATGACAATAAAAGCTTCCTGATTCTTGATTCAAATGATCTGAACCATCATTTAAAATCCCATACAAACGATGTTTATGCTGATTTCCCTGGTTTACTTTTTAATCTTTGGTCCATTACCTCTGATTTTGGATATTTCCAGCGACTGACTGGATGAAGCTTCATATCCAAAAGCAACAGTTTGATTCTGGCTGTTTTCCATTTCTCACTTTCTCACTTGATTTCTCTGATGTCTTATTGTATTTGTTTCCCTCTTGCTGTCTCTTTTTCCAGCTCTGTCCTTGGAGGTTTACCAAGTCAGATAGAGCCTATGGTAGGTGTTAATTAGGGAGAGGTAAGGGTAGAAAAAAGAGGAAGAATGGGAGGGAGAAAAACAAAAGAAATGAGAGAGAAAATGATGCTTAGAGCTCGAAGAAAAGAAAGACAAAAGTAGCAAAAAATCCTATTGTCTTTGGGAGGAAGCCACAGGAGATAGACACGTATAAAAGCAGAGCCAAGTGGGAAGGAAAACCACACAAACATCATTGGGTACACATCTCCATTTGCTAGCATCCCACAATGCTGAGTAACCAAGCGTGCATTCATTCAGCTTTAGAGATTTTTTTTTTGTCAGAGGTGAGGCAACAAAAGATCTTTCCAGTGCTTACTCAGTCTCAAGGGTACCTGGGTAAATGTCATTCAGCTTGATCAAACGCACACCTGCCGACATTGTTTTCACTCTTCAATCTAGACGGGTGCTGAGCTCAGGGTACGCATCAACAACAAACTTCAAGGGCAGGAAATTAACCTTTTTTATGTCCGCACACCGCAGCTGCTCATTTATTCCACAGCTTATCTGCTGTTTCAATGTTTCACTGCTTTTATTGAATTTGATCAAAAAGACCTGTTAAAGATCAGTCAGAGAGTTACAAACATATAAGTAAACATACAGGGTTGTGCAAAAGTGCTGAACTACTCTTCATTTTGTAAGTATGAGGGGTGGGATTCGATTGAAAAATCAATCAAATTAATTAGAGGCTTTGTAATCAGTTAATCTTAATTAATCACATTTTAATTGGTCAAGAAAATTTTCCCCAAAAGCTATTTTTCCTATCAAAAATAATGAGGTAGAGAATAAAAAAAAAGGCGTGCTCATTAAATTTGTAAGCTCACACTCTTTCAATTTCTAAAAATGCTTTTAAATTGTACATCTATAACAGGAAAATAAAGTTGTTTTGAACTGCTGCTGCACGGTCTTTGTAAAGAATGCTGCTGGCATAGGATGGAGCTATTCCAGATGCTACGCTACATAGCCTATGTCTTCATGTTTGATTGGTCAATTCAGGTGACTGATACCTTTTGGATTGTTAAGACTGCCGCACACGAGAGCAAACTTCTGAGCAAACAGCCTTGAATGACTGTTGGCTCAGCATACCTCGCTGTGTGCGCCAAATTTTCACAGAGTTTTCTGCCTCACGAGACGCTGAGGTGAAAATAAAACCGGTTTGATATTTTTCGCCTCACGAGGGGTAAAATAACATTGTGTGCACACTACGTGAGCTGCCGGCTGAGCTGAACTATTCTAGTGGCCAGTCAAAGCGCTTTCTCCGCTCACATGATTCCAAGATACCAGCCCCCTGTCTTCATGTCAGAAAAAATAAACAAAACAGAGACAGAGTTGGAAATGGAGCAAATGCTTCTACTTGTTTTGTTGATTAGGCGTCGCCGCCACCATCATTTCAAGATTATGAGAGTACGGGTACGGTGGCTGCAAAGAAAGGCCAGGCAAGGAATTTATGCCAATCTACTCCAAGAGATGCACCTTGAAGACCCAGATTCCTTCCGACAGTAGCACCGACTGGATCCTGAATCCTTCAAGAGGGTAGTGGAAACAATGGGCCCATGGATCCACAAGGTAACGTTTTGTTTATTTTTCTGACATGCAGACAGGGCAGGGGGCTGCATCTGATTACATCTTTGAATCATGTGAGCAGAGAACACGCTTTGATTGGCCACTAGAATAGTTCAGCTCAATCTGGAGCTCACGTAGTGCTCACACGAGGAGTTTCTACCCCCCGTGAGGTGAAAATATCAAACCGGTTTGTCGAAAACTCTATGAAAATTAGGCGCACACAGCGAGGTATCTGCTGAGCGAACAGTCATTCGAGGCCGTTTGCTCAGCAGTGCGCTCTCGTGTGCATCAGGCTTTAAGGCCAATAGAATGAAGCGTTACTCACCAAAATTGGATTGACAGCTCAGTCATCCAATGAGACTCATCATAACACAGATGTACACAAACCAGGAAAAAGAGAAGTCTTACTGGATGTTTGAGTTGTAAGCCTGTTTTTTGGTCAAAATGGTTGTGTTTTCCATCTAAACTGCTCTGTGTCAGTTTGACACAATGATAATAAGGTCTGGATAAAACAAACTTTTCAAGGTGAAACATCAAGGGTAAAACACTTTTTGGAGATCTGCTGGGAAAAAACAATTTCTGTTTTTGTTGCTCTCTGATCTCTGTCTCTGTGAATTTCTATTTGTATAGTATTGGGAGATACATATTTAGCTTCAAAATGGGTGGATGTGTGTGTAAAATTAGATTTTTAGCAGTGTTAGAGACAGAAATTAAGGCAAAAACACTCATGCATGTAGCAGGATTGCTGATCAATCAATTGATTGTAGTGTTAAATGTGTTTGAAGCCTGGTCTTGAGCCAAAGTTCTGAAGTTTTTGTAGAGATGCAGCTTGACTATATTTATTGATATTTAAGGCATATATTTAGCTGCTAAATTTCGACACCCCCCCCCCCA